GCTCACCAGTGTTTCCTGTCCTCATTATCTGCTGTTGTCTGAGGTCTGTGTTCCTACTTACTTACTGTTTGGTTACAATTCTTCCTCCAGTATTTTCTACACATGAGTATGTGAGTGATAGGATTTTTGATGTCTCCCAGAACCACAAATATCTTTCTCTGATCCTCAGAGGACTGACACCCTGGGACCCCACGTGTGAGGCTGATTTTTATTTCCTCCAACTTTCACATGACAAAGCTGAGGCTCAAAGAAAGCAGGTAACTTCTTCAAGGTCGTGCAGTTAGTAAGGGTGACGCTAAGCAAGAGGGGGTTTCGGACTATGATCAACAGTCAAAAGCACAAGATAAAGTAGGGCTTAGGGCTTAGCTCAGTGTCGACTTTATGGTGATGTAGGGCTGGACAGAGGCGGCAGAGCACATCCCTCTGCCTCAGCGGTGCTGGGATGGCCGCGGGAAGAGGGGGAGGCTGCGGAAACTTCTAGGCTCAGCCACAGCAAGAGGAGCTAGTGCATCTCTGTGCTCAACTTTATCGCTGGCTAGCTATGCTAGCTCTTCAGGGATATGTGCCTGGTTCCCAATGAGCATAAGTCATATCATAACCTCTACACCCTGTGTAGATTTCTCAGGATGTTCTCCATACATTGTGCGGAAACAGGCACACCCGCAAGATTCGTTCATCATTAGTTCAAGACACAGTCTGGGTAAGAAGTTCAATCCAGCGTCAGCTCTCAGGTGTCCTTGGCTGCTGTACAGGGAATAGGTCAGCTAATGTGAGGACAGGCTGTTCAGCCACGCTGTGTAACCTTTCTTTCTTCAGGGGCAAATCCGGGCATGGAGATTAAATCTTCTGGCTCCCAGCCCAGAACGCTTTGTACAAGCACCTTAAGAACTAGAGCTGCCTCTTCCTGGAGGTGCCTGTGTATGGGGCATCCACATTTCCTCCCTGTGGGGTAGGGGCAGAAAAATCAGAGAGAAGAGGAAGAGACTGCTGCTAACAGGGCCAGGAAGAAGGGTTAGGTGCCCCTGGCCCTGATGATCGCAAGAATGGAGAAGCCAAGAGGGGTCACAAACAAGCAGTCTCCCATCTTCCCTGTTCTCCCACCTCAGCCCCGGGCTTTCCCCTCCACCTCCCACCCTTCTCTCTGTTGCTTTCCTCCCACAGTCACCCCTCCCACCCTTCTCTCTGTTGCTTTCCTCTCACAGTCACCGGCACTGAGGACTCTCCTTGCCCTTCTAGAAGCTAGATTCTGATGCAAGGAGGCAAAAAACTAAGCCAAGCAAAATAATCATGTTTATTGTATAGTGAGATATAGTATATGAAAAAATAAAGCAGGATAAGAGGACAGAAGAAAACAGAGGGGGAGAAGGTCATATTCTATAGGAAGTATTCAGGGAAGGCCACCCTGAAAACCTGGTGGTACTCTAAAGAAAGAAGGAAGACAGCCAGGCACATAATCAGGGTGGAAGCTTCTAGACTGAGGAAGCACTTCAGAAAGTGACTGAGACGGTCCTTTGGAGTGAATGAAGAAACTATTTGAACCTCCATTTATATTTTTACCTAAAACATAAAAATCATATGTGCCTAACATTTAACATGTTAATTATTAAAATACATTGGGAGCCTGGTGGCCCCCTTGGTTAAGCATCTGACTTTTGATCTCAGCTCAGGTCATGATCTCATGGTTCATGAGATTCATCCCTGAGTCTGGCTCTGCACTAATAGCGCAGATCTTGCTTGGGATGCTCTCTCTGCCTCTCTTTTTCCCCTCCCCCACACTCTCCCTCTCTCAAACACATAAACTTTAAAAACATTAAGTAAAACATAAGGTAAATAAATATAGATGGGGTGAATGTGAATAGTCAATTTTTAAAAATTATAGGAATGGGAAAATAAAAGTTCAGAGATTACTACAGCCTAAGGCAATGATCTCCTGGAAGGCCCACGTGGATTTTTTCTGCATCATATTATCTGCAACAAAACAGGTATCAATATGCTGTGTATATCTTTTCCCTTCTAATTTATAGCACAGTCCCTACTCTTCTGTATTTTCAATAGCAACTAGCCCCATGGCATGCAGATGGGTCGCTAATAAATGAATAGATGAACAGATGGGCAGAAGGATCAATCAGCGTGGAGAGGTGATTCACTGGACGAACCTTCATGCATTGAAACTCCACAAAAGCAGCCTTGGCACAATAAAGGAGCTCAGCTTTGGCGTCTGACTCGAGTTAAAATCATTCAAGGACTACCCTGGGCGATTTATTTACCTCGTCTCCTAATCTGTGAAATTGTAAATGAATGAAAGCGAAGAACTGAGACAATCATCCGGACAGCTTCAAAGCACAGTGCCTGATGTTCAGTGGACGCTTACCACCTGTTATCTCCACTCTGCTCTCCAGACCCCCACTCCCACGCAGCCGACTCCCCATTATCAGCACCCGAAAATACTAATTTGCTAAGGCAATGAGGTACCTTGCTGGCTTTGACCCCTCGATTCGTGTTACAAAAATTCCAAGGACCCAAGAGTGATGGACAGACAAATGTGCGGAGAGACAGGTGAAGTGGGGCTTAGTTACCTGAGAGCAAGGTAAGTTGGGAAAAAAAGGGGGGGGCGGTTTGAGCCCGCCTGAGCTAGAGCAAACTTGGACGTACAGGTGTACCTTCAGGGAGCGCGTGACGTGGCATCGGCTACTCCGACCTGTCCGTGTGGTGCCACAAATGCACCCCCTAAAGGTGTGGGAAGATCTTGGGCGCCAGAGAATGGAAGAGTGGGCAAACCAACACCACGCTGCCTTTGGCCACAAGGAATGTCAATTCTCACTCACTTTCCCCGCCTCCTTTTCCTCGCCCTTTTCCATAAGTCTCGTCCTCTGGCGCCATCTGCAGGCCGCGCGCGGAACTCCAGCCGCGGGAAGACCCTTTGTCCGCAGCGAGTCTAGGAGACTGGGCGCTGTTCCTGGGCACTCTGTTCACTGGCCTGGGCGATCCTGCCAGGGGACTGCCCGTACTGCCCCCATTCCCAAGAGCTGCGTGTAAAAGAACCCTCGGGAGCAGAAGGAGGGTCACAGAAGTACTGGTAAGGGCGGTGGGGAGTGCAACTGGAGGAGATCAGAGCTGGAAAGGGCTGGAGTGTGCTGGGGTCGTGGAGGTTGACTGGACAGCGGAGAAGCAATGGGTGAGGGGCTCAGGACACCGTGCCTGCCTGTTTGAGTCGTAATCCTGGCCTTACCGATAGCTGCTTGTCTTCAGGCCGATTGCTTGATGTCTCTCTGTGGCCCCACAATTTCCTTTGAAATGGGGATAAGGTTGCTGCCTCCTATGGTTGTTAGAGGATAAAACTAGTTATTATTTGTAAATGCTCAGAGTACTTTTTGTTCAATGAAATTAACAATTGGATTTAAAGATAGCCACCTGCAGCACTGACGGCACGTTTTGAGAAATGCAAGTTACTGGGCCACACTCCCGCCTTACCGAGTCAGGATTTCTTTCTTTCTTCCTTTCTTTTTTAAAATTTTTTATGTCTTTATTTTGAGACACAGAGACGAAATCGAGTGGGGGAGGGTCAGAGAGAGAGAGAGGGAGACAGAATCTGAAGCAGGCTCCAGCCTCTGAGCTGTCAGCACAGAGCCAGACGCGGGGCTCGAACCCACAGACTCTAGGATCATGACCTGAGCCGAAGTCGGACACTCAACCAACTGAGCCACCCAGGCGCCCCCCGAGTCAGGATTTCTAACAAAGGGATCTCAGAAATGTATTTCGACAAGTTCAGCAGACGATCCTGATGCATCATAAACTTTGCGACGCACTGGTCTGAGCGTCCGCGGGTTTTAAAGCTACCCAGGTGATACGTATGGACACGAATGGACAGAGAATCACAAATGGCCAGACCCGTCTAAGTTACAAATAGGGAATCAAGACCCCCGTGAGGAGGCTGAATGTGCCTGCAAGAATCTGTAAGGCTCTAAGGTTAAACTGCTCGCAGACACCGCCGCCCCCAACTAGTCCCGTGGTCTTGCGCGAACTATTCCGTGAAATGGGTGCAAAAGTCGCACCTAACTCAGGGGGTGACTGCGAAGATCAAATGAGACCCAAATAAAAGTCTACTACTAAACACCATCCGGCTGGGAATAGGGGCTGAACTGAAGTGTGCATCCATCTCCGGGCGCTGAGCCCGAAATGCCTGCAGGTCCCTGGGACCCCGCTGGGCGGAGTTCCCTCTGAGAGGTCCGTGATAAAATCGGGCTCCTCGGAGCCGCGAGTCACAGCGGAGGAGACTGGGGGAGGGGGTCCGACCTCTGCGCTTCTCCGTTTGGTCTGTGCGTGTGCACTAGCCTTTCCGCGAGGTTGGCTCATTTGCTGGGGGCGCCGAGTCCCGCTAGACCGACCGCAGCAGCGCTGGTGCCCGCTTTGGGCCCTTCCGTCCGCTGGAAGCCGGTGCGGCGCCCGCCCGGACACCCGCAGGGACTGGCGAGGTTTCTGGCCGCTCCCCGCCAGCTCTGCAGCGGCCGCCGCGTAGCGCCCCGGATGCTCTTCGCGCCTCCCCCGCCGCCACCGCCCACCCCCGGGCGGGCTGTTGGCCCAGCTGCTGCGGACGCCGGGCGCGCAGCTCCCGCCCCGCGAGAGCGCCCTCTGCCGGTGCCTCCCACTCCCGCGCTCGCTCGGCGCGCTGCCCACCCGGGGGCCGCGGCGCCGCGGCTCCAGGGAGGAGGGGCGGGAAGAGATTGCGCAGTCGGTCCCGGAACCAGATGCTGACGGAGGGCCAGTGTGCTGGGTGCGCGCGTGGGAGGGACGGAGCCGCATCGTCAGCCCGCGGGTGGCGCGCGCGCGCAGATTCGAAGAATCCCGCCCTGGGACTCGCCAGCCCACGCGACCGGGTCCCGCCCAGCCTGGCCCGCCCGCCCGTCCGCCAGCTCGGTGGCGGGACTCGGCCAATCGGTTCCCGACGTGGATGCGTTAGTGGCCAATGAACGAGGACAGCCAGCCTCCGCCCGCGAGCCGCCGGCTGGCTGTGCGCCCAGCGCGGGAGCGGGGAATTCCGCTTTCCCGAGGGAAGAGGCCCGGCAGAGAGGCCGCTGAGACCCGTTCTTTGCAGCCCTTGCGAATCCCGGGGCAGCGGTACCCGCACCGTTGGACAGATTCTTCGCATCGGTGAGTGGTGCTCTGGCCCGGAGTCGGACGTGGAGCCCTGCGCGGGTGGTCGTCAAGGGCATAGGCAGAAGAACCTTGATCCGGAGCCAAAGAGGTTTTGAGGGTGGGGGGATAGGCAGCCTCCCATTGTGGGAACCCCCTTTCCCTCCCCCAGCCTCAGAGGTCAAGAGTTTTGCTCCTGGAACACTTTGAGATCAACTAGGAAGCTGTTTCAGCCACCGCGAGTAGTGCGAAGCGGCCGGGAGGGACGGCGTTAAAAGCCCAGATTTCTTAACTCCAGCCCAGAGGTAGTAAATCCTGATCTTTGAGGGCTGGGAAACGGTATCTTCCTTTTTAACAAACCCGGAGGGGGTAATTTGCAGAACCGTAAAAGTTTGATCTACACCAGTCTCCTTCATTTACAAATGAGGAAGCCGAGATCCCTAGGAGGGGTGTGTGGGGAGAGCGGTTGACGTTTTGGGGTGGTTCTTTCCTGGTTTCTTCCTTTGCTGCTCTGATCAGTTCTCACCTGAATGCCTGAGGGGAACCCTCTTCCCGCATGCAGGGTTCTGTCTGTGCGTCTTTCCCTTCTGTGTCCTGCGAACGTGTGAACCCTTCCCCTCTCTGTCTTTTCACTGAGGGATTCCACCTGGCTCTGCCTTTTGGCCCCTCTCTTGACCCCTGGCCTGGGATCTCTCAAGCAGTCAGCTACGGTGTAAGTGTGTCCTGTAAGTGTGCTGTATTTGTCACTGTCCAAAATTACACAAGGTCAGAATTGGTCCATCTTTTTTCCCCTTTAGGTGATTCCTCCCCTGACTTCCAAAAGCTTTACCAACATGCATGCACTGACCTATATTTGGCTGAAATTTCAAGGGGTACCCACTGCAAATCTGATTCTCAGTGCAGCTGTAGCTCTCTTCTCTCTAGAGCTCTGCCCCAAAAACTCCAGCCACATAGGCCTCTCATGACCCTGAGTTCAAGGTCTTCTCAACTCAAGGGGAACTGCCAGGCTCTGTTGTGTGTCCTTTCCCTGATATATGATCTGGAAACAGCCCCAGATCGAAAGCTAGACAGCTATAGGGATTACCTCATTTGGTTTCTCTCTCTGAGGGATGGGAAATCACTGTTCTGCACTGCCTGGTGCCCAGCATTTGAAAGTTGTTTTGCAAACCTATTCCTTTTCTTTTTTTTTCCCCAGCCATTGTAAGTGGGAGGGTAAATCCAGTCCTCGTTTCTTTAACTTGGCCAGAAGTGGAAGTGAGTCATAGTTTCTGGAAACTCATCATGAATTCCCTGAAGCCTGAAGAGAACAAGTCATCCAGTGCCACAGAAAATGGCCAGAGTACCAGACCTGAAGTTTCAAAGGTGTGTCTACTTTTCAACAACTCTTTGCTAGAGCAACATACCTGACCATAGCACGCTATGAGGATTCTGGAAGGAGATACTCTCATAGAGAATGGCTGTTATAAACCCTCCTTCCATATTGTGGAAAATATATTTGGGGGAGATCACACATATAAGTGCTTGTGTAAAACCAAATGATAGTGTATGAATCAACAATGCAAAGTGGCTGACAGTGTGGACACTTGATATCAGAAGGACAGACAGGCAAAAATAATACAATTCATGCTTACTGAGAAATTGGTGTGTCCCTGGAATTATTCTTGTCACTTCCTATGGATTATCTCATTTGACATTTAGTAAAACAATACATACTGTTATCATCCTATTTTATTTTTTTAAGATTTATTTGTTTTTGCGAGAGAGAGAATGAGTGGGGGAGGTGCAGAGAAAGAGGAAGACAGAGGATCCAAAGTGGGCTCTGCACTGGCAGCAGTGAGCCCGATGTGGGGTTTGAACCCGCAAACCCTTGAGATCATGACCTGAGCCGAAGTCAGATGCTCTGACCCACTAAGCCACCCAGGCACCCCATCATCCGTATTTTAAAAATGAAACTGAAACCCAACTTTCTTAAAGTTGCAAAAATAATGAACTTTAGGGCGAGGATTTGAATCTGGGCATTTAGACTTCATAGCCAGTTTTTGACTGACACAAAATACACATATCAATAATACCAAATCAAGATATAAACAAGTGCTTTTGGAGTGTAGACAGAAAAGTGCTTAATTCACACTCAAGAAATTAAGGCAGTATCAATGAGAAGGCTCTTAATAAATAGAATTTCACCAGGTAAGTGTATCCAGCATGAGGGAATTGTGTGAGCAAAGTCATATACACATAAAAACATATGTGGGAGCAATATAGTTAGACATCATCATATGTAAGAATTCAAGAATGAGATCATACTAGGGAGATATTTTGGTAGAAGATTATAGTAGGTTTGATTTCAATAAGAACTTTTATTTTGTCAAAAAGAATCCTCTACTTGTGAAATAATAAAATGGCTTCATTGGATTAAAGTTAAATAAAATTTAAACTTAATTTCTTCTGTTCACTAGCCACATTTCAAGTGCTCAGTAGCCCTATGTGGGCAATGGCTGCCATACTGGAAAAGCAGATATGGAACATTTTCATCGTTGCAGAAAGTTCTATTGGACAGTGCTGCTGTCCTAGTGTAGACTAGGGACCTCTGTGGCCTTGCTTCTCCAAGTTCACACAGCGGCAGCATTGCGGTCTCTTGAGACCTCTCTGTGATCTGCATTTTCACAAGACCCGCAGGTGATTCTTATGCCCATTAAAATGTAAGAAACACTGATCTGAGATACCCTGAAGATTCTGTAGGGTGAAATCTATCATTGTTATTAGCGTTATTTGCTGATGTTTACTTAGCTTGTACAGTATTGTTTCAAAGGAGGAAATGTTTAGCCCTGGGAGAAAATAAGATGGGTTCGTTGGTTCATCCGTCCGGCAAGTGCAGAGTTCAGCAGAGCTTTAATGCAGCAGTACACCTGGCCTCAAGGACTCCTTTGCTCCCAATCTCTATCCTCTGCCCTTCGTTGTTGGCCTCTGACTGGCTCTCCACACAGTGACGACAGAACTCCAGTAGGTTCAGAGCCTGTACCTACATTTGCTGCCATTCAGATAATAAGTCCATCCTGGTACGCGGAGACAACTTCCTTTTGCATCTAACTCTCCCAGGCTGCGTAGCTCAGCTATTCCTGCACAAAACCCCTGGCTGAGGAGGCACTTCCGGCATATGAGGCTTGTCCCTGAGCTGACGAATTCACTTTTGTACACCTGTATGGCTGCGACAAAATGGGAGAGCAGTGCAGTAGCTTTCTGGGAAAGAGCTGCCGTATCTTCCACTTCTTTGACCCCTATGCTTAAGTATTTGGATTTCATTCTGTAAGTGAGGGAGAAGTTATATACAGGCTTTATCCTTGTGTTTTTAAGGAGGAGATTTAATTTAAACTCTAAGCTAAATATTCACATTAAATGCCTAGGACTACACTGTTCAGTATGGTAGCCAAGAGCCACTTGTGGCTATTTAAATTTACATTCAAGTTAACTAAAGTTAAATAATGAAGGAAGTGAATAATTCAGACCCTGGCTCACACTAAGCGCACTTCACCTGGGCTAATTGTATGGGGTGGTATAGATGTTGGAGATCTCCATCACTGTAGAACATTCCACCAGGCAGCACTAGCCTAGGGCATTCACATCTACAACAAAACTACAGTGTGAAGTTTGCAAACTATTTGGTGGGAAAATGAAAGGCAGAGGGGGAAAAAAGTCTAAAAGAAGAGAACAAAGAAGGAGAATATAAATAAATTTGGAAAAAGTTGGAAAAGGAGAAGGCACTGAAAAGATAACAGAAATGAATACAAAGAAAAAATTGGTTACCTTACCAGTTGTCTGAAAGACTTTAACTTTCATCACTACTTTTCAACCTATTTATTATTAAATCTCTTCCACGTATAATTCTATGGCCTATGACAGATGCCTGTGGTCTTGTAACCATGACCAGAATCAAGATATAAGAGAGTTCTGTCAGCTTAAATAATTCCCTTGTGCTCTGCCTTGTCCAACACCCACCCAAACCTCTGGTGATCATCAATGTATCCTTCACATGTTGCCATTTCCAGAATATTGTGGAAATAGAGAGGGGCCAAGATGGCGGAGCAGGATGGAAGCCTTTTGCTTCTCTCGTCCCTGAAATGCAGCCAGATCAACAACAAACCATCTTGTGCACCTAGAAAATTGATCTGAGGATTAACACAACAATGTGCACAACTTGAACCTTAGAACTCTCAGTAGGTACATGAAGCCATGGCAGCTTAGAGGGGTGAACCAGGGGAGAGAGAAGCCACAGGGGGTAGGGAGCTGGTTTTACGGAGAGAGGATAGAGATGGGGGAGAGTGCAGGAAAAGCACTCCTCCCAAAAGCAGCTGGAGAGAAAGAGTGGAAACGCTCAGAAGAGACTTAACAAGAAAGGGAGAAAGGAGAAAGGATAGGATTTAAATACCATTACGACTCTGTAAACAGAGGAACTGAGAACCTCATGTAAATAGAACCATATGCTGAATCATACCTTTTGGGTGTGGCTTCTTTCACATATAACAGCATTTGCAATTCAGCCGTGTGGTTAGATGTATCAGTAGCTTTTTCTTCTTACTGCTGGGTGGTATTCCATAGCACAAATATAGAGTTTATCCATTCACCTCTTGAAGGATGTTTGGGTTTTTCCTCTAGTTTGTGAGGTTTTTTTTAATACTTATTTTGAGAGAGAGAACAGGAGAGGGAGAGAGAGAATCCCAGATAGTGCAGAGCCTGACATTGGGCTTGAACTCACTAGTGCTGAGATCATGACCCAAGCCAAAACCAAGAGTCAAATGCTCAACCTACTGAGCCACCATTTGTGTCTTTTATAAATAAAGCTGCCTTGAGTATTTGCATACAAGTTTTTGTACGTATATCAGTTTCATTGCTTTTGAGTTCTTACCTATGGATAGAATTGCTGAGTCATATGGTAAGTGTATGTTTACCTTTATAGGAAATTGCCAAAATGTTTTCAACATGGCTCTATCATTTTGTATCCTCACTGCCAATGTATGAATCCCAGCTGCTTCACATTCTTGCCAACATACAGTATTGAAAGTTTTCCTGATTTTACTTATTTGGCTAAGTGTGTAATGGAGAAGTATGTAATGGTCTCACCTTGTGGTGAGTTATTACTAATAACTAATGATATTGCATATCTTTTCATGTTCTTATATACCATCCATATATCTTCTTCAGTGAAGTGTCTGTTAAAATGTTTGGTCTGCTTTTATATTGGTCTTTCTGATTTTTTGTTGCTGAGTTTTGGGAGTATTTTATATATTTTGGAAATGATCCGTTTGTCAGATTCCTTTTCTTGTAATTTTTGTAGATAATTTATCTCAGTTTGTTGCTTATATTTTCATTTGCTGCATACTATCTTTTGGGGGAGAAAGTTATTGATTTTAAAGAAGTCCATTTTATCACTTTTTTTTCTTTTTTGGATCATGCTTTTGGTTGTATTATCAGAGAATTCTTTCCAAACCTAAGATCACAAAAATTTTCTTAGGAGTTTTCATCAAGAAGCTTTACAGTTTTAGATTTGTCTGTGATCCATTTTGCATTAACTTTGTTTGTATGGTGAAGTATGTGGATCATACAATAGTAATAGGAAACAGTGCTTAATTAATGAGTTCATTTGTTTGTTAATTTTGCATATGGCATTGTGTTCGAGCACAGTTTGTTAAATCAGCTACCCTTTCTCCATTGAATTACCTTTATATCTTTGTTAAAAACTGAGCAAAACTTGATTGGATCTGTTTCTGGATTCACTGTTCTTTTTTTTTTTTTTAATGTATATATTTCTTAAATTTTTTTGATGTTTAATTAGTTTTGAGAGAGAGGGATAGAGACAGAGCATGAGGGAGGGAGGGGCAGTGAGAGAGGGAGACATAGAATCAGAAGCAGGCTCCAGGCTCTGAGCTGTCAACACAGAGCCCGACATGGGGCTTGAACTCACAGACCAAAGTATAGCTCTACTAGAAGCAGGTAATGCAAATTTACAAAAGCAGTCAAATTAAATGTCATTTCATCTATCAATTGGCAGACATTTAAAATCATAGTACCAAAATGCTCTGAAGGAGTCAACCATATGGTTGGTGTCTGGGCATCAAGGAGAGAAGGAGCAGCACAAGTGGACATGATTTTTCTGGAAAGCAGCTGAGCAGCATGTATGTTGTGAAGTACATTTATAACCTTAGTGTCTGTATTTCTACAGCTGGGAATCTGGCCTAAGGAAATATCCAGATATTCAGCCAAAATGTTTTAAGTATAGAAATGTTTGTTCTATAAAAATTCGAGACAATCTAAGTATCCAGCAATAGAAGAATGAATTCAAAATTATTGTGAAATAAATATATCCTGTGGCCCCACAAATTGTGTTTAAGAGGTTGTTGGATGGCATGGAATGTCACTAAATTTAAATGTTTAATGACATGTCAGCCAATGGCAGATTGCCTAGGGAAGAATAAACTCATGCAGCATAGCACAACTTAGGAAACCTAAAGTGTGTATCTGCACATAAAGTAATAGAAACAAATAAAACAGAATGTAGAATGGTTATCTCTGGTGACGGAATAATGATGGGTGATTTTTATCCACTATTCATTATCCAGTGTATTACTCAATTTTTATTCAGAATATCTACCAGTTTTATAATTAGACAAACGTGAAACATTTTTATTAAAGGTGATTCTCATTAAGTTTTTAATCTTTCCCTTTTTTAAGGATACTGCCATCAAGCAGACCTGTCCAGGAAGAATTGCTGTTCAGTCTCTATCTGACATAAAGGAGTGTGGCAGGGCCAGTAAGCTTAGAAGTGAAGTCAAGCATGAAACATCTGTAGAAATCCAGAATCCAGACTTGAGCACCATTAAAAAATGTTACTTTACTTTTACTTTGAATAAAAACTCCAAGAAATCCGACCGTAGTATATTTAAAGCACATGGTAAACCAAATGAGAGTATCGACTCAGCCCTGAGAGCCAATAACAATTTCAGTGAAAGGATGAAGAATCATTTGGATAAGCACATTCTTGTTTATGAAGAAAAAACAATAGGAGGATATGTAAATTTAGGAATGCCTCTCAAGTGCCTACCTACTGGCTCCCATTTTAAAATAACATTTGGTCAAAGAAAGAGTAACCAGGAAGGTGATCAGATGTTACGCCAGTGTGAAAATCCATACATGGAATGCGTTCTTTTTCACGTTGTTGCTGTTGGGAAGAGGATAAAGAAGATTCTTAAGATCAATGAACTTCATGAAAAAGCAACTACACTTTGTGTCTATGCCCTAAAGGGTGAGACTATCAAAGAAGCTCTAAGCAAGGATGGTCGATTTCGATCGGACCTCGATGAATTTGAATGGGAAGTAATGGAAGATCATAAGACAATTCATGGAAAAGAGTCCCTGGCGGATGATGTGTCTGGAAAAACTTTAGAAATGGACATTTTTAAGAAACAAGTTGCCAGGAAAGGTACCCATAATAAAATTAAAAAAGAGAATGAAAATACCACTGAAGAAATCTGTCCGCAGGATCCAGTACAGTCTGAGGTTAGAGAACATGAACCAGAGGAAGATGAGGAGACTGAAGATGTAGAATACAACAGAGGAAAAATTCTCCCATCTCGGAATCTAGGGCGTGATATTAAAGGTAAAAGACAACGTACAATTTTCAGAATTAGAAGTTATTACAGTAGTAGTTTCAGCAGAAAATATAGGAGAAACAACTCACGTATTAGGCAAAGGCCCCATCCAGGTATGCAACATGTTAATCAGTATATCCAAAGGAGGGCAACTAACCTCTGGCTGAAGTATTTGCAAAGGTTGGACAAAGTGATAATGGATCAATATCCAAATTTTAATGAAGAGGCGCTTTGTATGACAAAGTATTTTCAGGATGAACAGAAGAAAACCAAACTGCCACCATTTCAACAATTCAGCATTTATAAAAAGTACTTCGGAAAGGTGACCGAAAATTCTACTTCTGTTGCAACCTGTGAAGATCTTATTCATCTTAGTAAGTCGGTTGGGTTCATGAAATGGGATAATAATGGAAATACAGGCAATGCTACTTGCTTTGTCTTCAATCACGGTTATATTTTCACCTGTCGACATGTAATACATCTTATGGTGGGAGAAGGCACAGATCCAAGTTTGTGGCCAGATATAATAAGCAAATGTGCAAAGGTAACTTTTGCTTATAAAAAGTTCTGCCCTACGGATGTCGATTGGTTTTCCATTGAGCCATGGTTTGAAGTGTCTGATGGAACTCTAGATTACGCCATCTTAAAGCTAAGAAAAAATGAAAATGAATTTCCTCCAGGCCTGTTTGGACAGATTTCCTCTCAACTGCCTAGTGGTTTGATTTATTTAATTGGTCACCCAGAAGGCCAGGTCAAGAAAATAGATGGCTGTGCTGTGATTCCTCGGAATCAGCGGTTAGAGAGGTACCCAGAGCATCATCAGGATGGGTTGATAGCACCCCATGCTGCCACTTACAATGTTTTCTCTATGTTTACCCAACGAAGTTTCCTATCAGAGGTTTGGCGCACAGACACACTTAGCTATGATACTTGTTTTTCCAGTGGGTCCTCTGGCTCCCCAGTGTTCAATGCATCTGGAAAATTGGTTGCTGTTCATACCGTTGGGCATTTTTATCAACATGGAGATAAAGTATATGCCCTTATTGAATTTGGCTATTCTATGGGGTCAATTCTTTGTGATGTTAAACAGAAAAATGAGAGCTTGTATAAATTATTAAATGAAGAGAAAAATGAGAACCATAATGAAGACCAAAATAACAAGTCCTTTCAAGATCATCAGATTGAACTGATGGAACATTAGAAAAAAAGATGTTTTCAAGAAAATATGCCAAGAATTTAGAGTATTCAGGGCTGTTTTCCTTAAAGTATAATGAATATTCTTTTTTAATTAGAAAATGATGTGGATGTTCAAAACACATTTAAGAGTTCAAATAAATTCTGACTTTTTTGGTCCTTGGCTTTTTTTCTTATTTGAAACAATCTCAAGCCTCAGTTAAAATACTTAGCTCTGTTATATACATAACCAATTGGTATTGGTACATAGACCAATTTGGTATTTGCCATTCTAAGTAATTAGGATGATACAACCATCCAATCTTCCTAACTGGTGAGGTGACCCCTGTTCTCTGCATAACAAAATAATGAGGAAATACACCTTTAGAGTGGAGGAAAACTCAAAATTCTTTGGTTATTGGGGCACCTGGGTAGCTCAGTTGTTTCAGTGTCTGACTCTTGATTTCAGCTCAGGTCATGATCTCATGATTCGTGAGATCAAGCCATGCATCAGGTTCTGCACTGACAGTGGAGAGCCTGCTTGGGATTCTCTCTCTCTCTCTCTCTCTCTCTCCCTCCCTCCCTCCATCCCTCCCCCTCTCAAAATAAAGAAACATTTTTTAAAAGTTATTTGGTTATCTTAATTTTTCCCTTTTGTGCCCCCTGTAACATCAGCCCTTATTGCAAATGACAAAAGAAAAGTCCAGCTCTTCTGTTCTTTCCACTAGTTCTGCCCTTCTGTGGAATATAGAAGCATGACTTGCTTAGTCCCCACCCCCACCCTCATATCCAGAGGCTAGAAAGCTAAAGGCTACATACCCCCGTCTAATTTGCAACTAAGATTCTGGGTATAAGTCAGATTCCTCAAAATAGATTCACTTGCCTTTTATTTGAAAGATAGAAATAAGGTGGAGACTTTCTTCTGCTCCATCTTCTGGCAAACTATGTCATAGAAAAATGAGTGTCTAGCCACGTTATACTGGAGGTCAGCTTCAGCAGGTCCAGGGGTCCCTGAAGGATGGATGGTGTCGGCAAGAGAGAGAGTGAGAGAGCCCTGAGATTCTTTCTGATCACCAGGCAAGCATCTCTGTCCTGTCAGTTTTGGTGTCTTTATTTATAGGTCAAACAATAACATGACATCATAAAAAGGAATTTTTACAATGGATAACTCTTTGTGATAAGATGCTTTGGAAAGTGTACAGAAGCAGGTTTTACAGAAGTATTCTTGCAGAACTACTCCAGTCAGTGAGGTTGAGTAAATCTTACAACTAAGGAAATAACAGGGTATTCTTAGTGAAAAACTAGATAACATACATATTTGTTCTAAGTTAATAACGCTAAGGTTAGGTCATAGGTTAAGTGTATAGATGGGCTAAGAGTCATTCTGTCTGGCTCACAAGAGAACGAATGTTTTTAAACTGGTTAATAAGTTGTTTGTGGAAACCTTTTTGACTTGATGCTGAATGTATAAACACCATGGAGGCCCTAAATGTGTCAACCTTTGTTTTTGGGTTATGTTTTAGCTACTCTTATCTATCTTTATCCCAGCCACCCCTGTAAGGGAGGGTGTTTGCAGAAAGTAGGCCTTAGGGAAGGGACTGCCATACATCACCAGTTAGAAAAGGTGTAAGTATTAACTTAAGTTCTACCCTTATCTGTTCCTTAACTCTATAATTAGGCTCTTTGTCTCAGGGCCAGTCTCAACTGTAACTCTTGTGTTCTTAACCCCCTTTATTATCTAAGTCTCAGATCTGCAAGACCCATGGGAAGAGCCTTTTGACAATCATCCACAGAGCTTTCATCTAAAATCTCTTTTGAAAAGGCAGGAATATGTTTTTCCTTATGAGGTATCTGTGTTCGGAATATCAGTCTGATACGGAATATTGTGAGGCCTGGTCAGTACCAGCAGGCTTATTTCCAACATGAACCAGTAGTAGCAGAAAGAGATACCAGTTTTCGTTTCTTATGGCAGGAGCTGTGCAAACACTGCCATTTCCTTGCTGTGACTGTCATCCAGTGAGGCCAGTGCGGCTCCCGGCAACATTAGGTGACCGTGTCTAGTCCTCAGCTTCACGTGGATTGAGAGGTGATTGCAAGCAGTAGCAGCACCCAAACTCTGCATTGCAGTGCCTAGTCGTTTGCTTTGATAGTGTCAAGAGGCCTTTGTAACAGCTTCATCCAGCTTCCGGATTCCGGTTTGCAGCTGACAAGGTGTGTGCTTTTTTTTAAAATTTGAAAGTGTCTAAATTAACCCAATATATATATGTACGTATGTATGTTTATTTATTAATTATTCTTTTTAAAATATAGTTTATTGTCAAGATAGCTAACATACAGTGTATACAGTGTGCTCTTGGCTTTGGGAGTAGATTCCCATCATTCATTGCTTACATGCAACACCCAGTGCTCATCCCAACAAGTGCCTTCCTCAGTGCCCATCACCCATTTCCCCCCTTCTCCCTGCCTCCCCCATAAACCCTCAGTTTGTTCTCTGCATATAAGAGTCTCTTGCGGTTTACCTCTGAGAGGGTGTGTTCTTGAACTCAATTCCAATATTGGCCCTTTGAATCCCTCCCATTGCTTTTATCATCCTAAAGATGTTCTGGCACTGAATCCCTTCAGTTGAATCTCTTTTACCTGCATGGAACTCTGCTATACCCTCCTTACCAACTAACAGTTGATCAGACTGACCAAATATGTGATTGTCTCTCAACTGTGCAAAAGCCATAAATCTCACTCAGAAATTGTTGGTTCAGAAGCTCTAAATCTGTATGTCTATTAGGAACAACTGCTAAATTTCAAAAATAAAGTAGCAGCTTGGACGAGAGAAGTTATTGCTCTCTCATGTAATAGACTACACGTACAGCCCTCTGTGGTTGTGGAGTTCAAGGTGTCATGATAGGTTTTCTCAGTCAGGTCCAAGGTGACTACTAAATTTCCAGCCCACGCACCTACACCACAGGCAGGAGCGAGAGAAAAATGTGCAAAAGAAAGGTACACCCCTTTCTCTTAAGAACACCTTCTAGGGGTGCCTGGATGGCTCAGTCAGTTGAACGTCTGACTCTTGATTTTGGCTCAGGTCATGATCTCACAGTTGTGGGATCAAGCCCTGAGTCAGGCTCCACACTCGGCATGGAGCCTGCTTGGAATTCTTGCTCACCTTCTCTCTCTGCCCCTCCCCATTCACATGGCCTCTCTCTCAATCCCCCCCTCACTCCCTTTCTCTCTCTCTCAAAGTAAAAAAAAAAAAAACATTAAAAAAAAACCATCTAGAAACTGCATATATCACAGTCGCTGGTACCTCTTGTCTACAACTTGGTTACATAGCTCACTTAACTGAAAATCAGGTTGTGAATATAGTGTTTATTTTGGATGACCAGATGCCCAGCATGAATTCTATTACTTTGGAATAAAGGAAAAATGGATGAACTAGTCATTTTAACCACAGTCCCATTCATATAGCCTCTCTAGTGTCTAAATATACTGTAGTTTCCACATATGAAGCATACTTAACCCACTCCCCAGGACAGTCCAGAATTCTGGGTGGTATGCATGTGTCTTTATCACATTTGGATGCAGCTTCTCATGGCCCAGAGATGAGTCCGCCCATTCCTTTCACCCTACTCACACACCCAATACACCCTATGGAGTATGACCAGAATCCAACAACTTAAATTCCTATTCAGAAAAGACGATGGAAGGGGCCCTGGGTGGCTCAGTCGGTTAAGCGTCCGGCTTCAGCTTGGGTCATGATCTCACGGTTGGTGGGTTTGAGCGCCATGTCAGACTCTGTGCTAACAACTCAGAGCCTAGAGCCTGCTTTGGATTCTGTGTCTCCTTCTCTCTCTGCCCCTCTTCCACTCATGCTCTGTCTCTGTCTCTCACAAAAATATTAAAAATTAAAAAAAAAAAGGCGATGGAAGATACAACAGTCACAGTCCCATAGCAGGGATCAAATTCGTTGTGTAGGAGATGCCAGGATGCCCACCTCCAGCAGAGAGCACAATCATGGGTGAGTCCACTGCAGCTGCTGTTCACTGCTCATGGCAGTTGGCATTGCTTTGACCACTGTCCTTCATAAACCTCAGATTTTGACCTTCAGGGTGTTCTTTCTGCCCATCGTTTTCTGTGGCCATTTCTTATCTGTAAGTCAGGATATTTATGTATAGTGAAATACATCCTTTTTGGTATATATGCAAACATATATGCATATATGCATTCTGACAAACACATCAGAGTTACTACTATCACAATTTAAAAAAGTGAGTGAAACAGCATTTAAAAATTTTTTAATGTTTTATTTATTTCTGAGAGAGAGAGAGAGACAGCATGAACAGAGGGGAGGGTGAGAGAGAGAGGATACAGAATCTGAAACAGGATCTAGGCTCTGAGCTCGCTGTCAGCACAGAGCCCAACACGGGGCTTGAACCCACAAACCGTGAGATCATGACCTGAGCCAAAGTCAGAAGCTTAACTGACTGAGCCACCCAGGCGCCTCGTGAAGCAGCATTTTTAATAAAATGTACAGTACAGTCAGCATGCTTACAGAAAATGAATGATAATTTTAGTCAGTGTATAGCTTTCACTAACTTCTGAACTTGCTGTTGTTTCAGGGGAGCGATCTGAAGCATCCTACATGGCAAGATGATATACCTGCTGTTAATGTTTGTTTACTTTGCGTCTGGAACATTCAAATCAGAATCCAAACAAAGGCTATACATTGTGTTTGGTTGTAGGAGACTCTTCAGCTCCCTTTAATGCATAAATTCCCCCCCCTTTATCTTTTTCCTGACATGTTTTTATTGAAGAAAGTAGATCCTATTTGTCCAGTAGAGGATTCTACATTCTGTTCTTTGCGATTCTATCTTTGCGGTGTCGTTGAATGTGGAGCCCTGTATTTCTTGTAAACTGGTAGTTAGATCTAAAGACTTGATCATATTCAGTTTGGACTTTTTGCGAAGAAGACTTCCTAGGTGGTGCCTTGGGATGTCTGGCCTTCCAGTTACTGTGGGCTAATATCTGAGCCTTGTTTTCATTAGCATCATGAAATTTAGGATAAAACCCACTGGCTTCCTAAAAGGGAGCATTGTTGAATAAGAATCTCTGGAGAGTTGACCACTTCAAATAACTAAGCCAAAATAATTTCCCAC